AAAATCAAAAAGATACCAATAATAATTAAATCTAATAAGAAGAAGCTACAGGGAAAGCAAGAAGAATATTTGCAAAAGCGAAAAACTAGAAATATATATAATCGAAAGGTAAGAATAATATCTAAAGAACTAAAAGTTAAAAAAGAAAAAGATAGAAAAAAGTATTAGATTTCCTATACTTTGAAAGTGCTTTACAAAACTTCTAATTTTTTAAAGATATTAAAGAATAAACAAAATGAAATGATTATACAAACTCGATTGAATATCGAAATACAATAATCCCAGTACATGGATTTAAATAAAAATCTGATTTTAATTAACTTTATTTAGAAAAACGTTAAAAGCAAAAAACCTTATTCAAAACAATAATAATTCTATATCAGAATCTGAATCAAATAATTCCGAAATAGATTTTGAAGATTGGGAAATCGATATTGATAAGAAAGAGGAAGAGGAAAAGGAGGAATTTGATAATAAAGAAAAAAATAATAAAGTTAGAGAGCTTGAAAAGATTGATTTGAAAGATTTGAATATTAATTAAGAATTAAAATAAATATAAAGATATAATATTTATTGATTCTATAAATGCTAATATATAAATTTAGTGTGACGGAAACGGTGTTGTAGACCACGTGGATCAGATCATGTGATGGTCAGGTATTCATTATATAGAATACTCCGGAGCGGAACAACGATAACCGGATCGGCCGCAGGACCGATCACCGCTCCCGTGATCGGTACCCGAAGATCACCCAGTATATAATCCGATCTCTTCTCTACGAGAAGAGATCAGTTCTAACTGTAGATGAGGAGATATACACATTCTTATACTTATACCATTATTGTCCAGTCATTCCCCTCCATCGTGATATGCTATTGTCCTGTACGATATTTAGATAATTGAACTTTCTGGAATTTTGATTTGGATTAGAGTTTGGAAAGTTAGTGTAAAGTAGTTTATGATTAATTTAAAGAATTTAAACAAAAAAATTGATAAAGAATCTTCGGATTTTTTATAGGTAAAAGATTTGTCTGGATAGGTTTATTTTGATTTTTTTTTACTAATTATTTCTCCCTAGCCATTTCTCATTTATTATCATATCAAATTATTAATATATTAATAGAGTATATTTATATCCTAATAAACTTTCTTATAAAATATTTAGTTATCAATAATATACTATTTGGAGAAATCTTGTTTCTTGGAGTTTTAATATTTTGAAATTAGAGAAAGAGAATGATATCAAGCTTTCTGAACCTAAAAAATAGTAAACCTCTAATAAAAGCTATAATCCAAAAAGATATGGATTTTGGATTCCTAAAGATAGGATAAGATATAAGCGAGCTTGGAATCTATTCCATTATATAAAATAAAAAGAAGATCTCTCTCAACTTCTTAAAGAATTCGAAAAAATACCAGAAACTATAACAAAAGATAATAATAAATAGAGAAACCTTAATAATTACTTTCTATTCTAATTATATATACTTATCAAATTCTATTTTAATATAATATTGCTTTTCTTTTTCTTATGCTTTTCGAACTCTTTTTATTTTATAATAATCTCTTCATATAGCCTTTACAATTCCTTATCGAAAATAATCTATAGATTATAACGAAATAGAGTCTAATTCGTTATTGCTTGAATTCATTATTATATTATCCATAATACTTGAAACACGATTGATGATATAATCAAATTGAACTTCGAATGGATTTTCTTCAAAGCTATTTTGTTAAATAAAGTTATATAAAACGCACAAAGCATAAACTATATATATTTGAGTTGTATATAGATATTTTTGTTATTGTATTAGAAATGAAAAGCACATTTTAAATACTTCAAAAATTCTTTCAATCTTATTTTATAAAGAAAAATATTGAAGGTTGAAAAGCTCTTCTGATATTTTGAATATCTTATTGAATCCTAATTACTCTTGTAAATAATATTTTATCCCTTTGAATAAAATAAGAACCTACTTAATATTTATATATCCTACATCATTTAGATAATAATAACCTTTTAGAATTTGTAAACCTTTTAAAATCAAAGTATCTAAAAGCACCTTTTAATTATTTATAGAACCTTTCCAACTAATTAATATATAGCAGAATTGTAAATTGAAAGTAATTACTACAAGAATATTCTATACAATATACCCTTTTTGATTGAAATAAGCAGATTGATTTTCGAAAGGTATTGTTACTGGGATAAAGATATTATCAAGAGCTTTTAGACAATTTATAAAATATATACAATATTTTTTATCTTCTGCTACTCGAGGAAGAGCGAATTGTATAGTTGAATCCGGTAGCTTTACTATTAATAGATATAATATTATTATAACATCTAAAACTTAATAAAACCATTTTAAAGTATATTAGAATAAATCAATAAGTAGATTTATATAAAGTGTTTTTTATACCTATGGATTGTTTCTTCAAAATGAGAAAAGGCTTCAACTGTATTATATATAGTTCTACACTAGTTTATAATATAGAGAAATACATATAGCTTTTGATTAATTGAAGTATATTGAAAGTATTATAGCTTTGTTTTTTCGTGACAAAACTTGATCAAAAGTCGAAAAGTATATAGAGGTATATATAGTTGTTTTTGATAACGTTGAGGGTGTTTAGAATCAAGAAGAGATTGTGTTTTAAATTCACCAGGAGTATCAGTTCTTTTTTTCGAAATTGGAATACAATAAAAAGAGTTAATAACAATAACTAAATTATAAATCAAGATAGAAATAAACTGTTTAGAATTATTAACCTTATTGTCACTCATTATAAATAAGAAAAAGATAGTTTACAATCTAAATCATTAATAGAATCTAAAGTTATAATAGAAAAAATATTAAAGAATCTATTTTTAAATTAAGCTATATATATTCTAATATATAAGGAATAGAAATATAAAGTAATCTAAATCGAAATTAGAGATAATTTGAAGAAAAATAAAGATATCCTATAAATTTAGATATTTGAAGTATTAATATTATTATAATACTATATGGATATAGGGTGAAAGGTCTATAAAAGTTTATAAAAACATAAATTATTTGTTAGATTGAAAACGAGGACTATTTTTTCTAATTCTTGTTTTTAATTTGTATTTTTGTTTTTCTATATAAATTTGATAAAAAACACAGATTATTTAATATTATTTTAAAGTGATTCATTTTCTCCCTACCTCGAAATACACTAAATTCATTGAAATGCGGATTATTTGATAGAATCCGTAATTTGATATCCAAATATGAATTCAAAATCCACTTTCAAAAAAAACGGAATATTCAGTGGATCCAACGTGGATTTGTACATCCAAACTAGCTCTAAGTCTAAAGATTGTACAGCAAAACGTAGCGTTGACTTCGTTTGGTCCCGCGGGAGCGTATATCCTGTATTCAACGGGTACGATAAAGGTAGCTTCCACTGGGACGGTAATTGTCAGAGTTGCTCAAGGTGGTTCCTCGAGCCGAACTGTGAAGAGGACCACATTTGCTTCGTACGATTGCGTAGGTCCTCAGAAGGTGGATATAATGTATAATGTGGCTAGGAAATGAAAGCCCCCACTTTGGCGTTGGTCGGATAATAGGTAGTTAATCATATAGGTATACTGAGATGGAAATAATGAATGATAGCACTTAATAACGATTTCGATTGATCAAATGATCGCTAGTTTTGGTGAAAAGAAATGGGTCAATATAGTAAGTAACGCTAATGACATGATGAAATGAGTAACACTTTTGCTGTCGATTTTTTTATTTTCTTTTTCTTCTCCCCCTCAACATCTTGCAATCAACGACTTCATGCCATTTTGAAGTCTTTTTACCTACTTGAACTGTCTTGTCGCCACTTTCGACTTCTCTGCCATTAAATCGTTGGTCACTTCCATTTCCATCACGCTCGTTCCGTTTTTGGATGCGCTCTGTCCTCTCTTATCACGCCACTCTCCAAACTGGTATGATCCAACGTTGTATTTCAACGGTATTCGTCCCGAAACATTCTTTCTTCATCTTTTTCTTCTTGTATCGGGTGTCGGCAGTCAGCATACCGAGTTTTACCTGTCATACCCTCCTACTTTCTTACGCCAAGCTCTTCATTGCTGCAGCCACCGCGAAACCCTCCATTGTGTCATTAGAATCACGTATAGCTCGTATTTTACGTGGTTGATAATCTTCCTCTGGGCATTCAAATCTTTTCAGTTCGCTGGGATCAATCACAAGATGATGGAGGGAAGTCTCAGGCTGCCACGTCGCACCTCACATGCAAGCATAGAGAAAAGCCATGGGATTCCCGTAAAGTGCAATACCTATTGCTTAGGATGCTGGTTCCGAGTAGGCTGAAAGTTCTGTACTCGGGCAGAAAAAATTAGAACCTTTTGGATTGTGTGACAAGCGCCTCTTATATGAGCTGTGGTCTGACTACTCTCAAGGGTTTCACGACAGCCTTCATCAGCTTTCCAGAAGTCTTGGATGCGATGTAACTGTCGTCACATTTTGTGCATCACGACTGGCCAGGTTTCTTCCATGGAAAGACTTTTGCCAATTTGCATAAAGATTTGCATCACAGCCTCGTTTGTTTTACATTTATCTTACAGGGTTTCACAAAAGCCACATGAATCAATCTTTCAGAAAAGAAACCAGATTACAGACACGCAGGAACAAGGAAATTAATTCCAACGACACTTGGCATCTTCCATTGTTAAGCACATATAAATTATCCTAACAGAAATTTCGGTGCCAAAAATGATCCAACAAATGTGCAATTCGCACGTCATCATCAGCCAATTCTATTCCCGAGTTCAACCCATGCCAAATGACCCATACCGTCCGTCTCAACCCAGATAATCCGGTTGTATCCCATGCGCCTATGCTCCGATGCCATAATTCCATTATTACCCAAAAGAGGTAACCCCCACTTGGTTCTGTCGAGGGGATTTTCAAAGCATAAAAATAATCGTCCCCATGTCATTGTGTGGAACTTTATCAGCTTACACTGAGACAAGATGATAGTTCTCTGCTAAAGACAATCTGTAACCTCACACCAACCGCAATAGTCGTGATCGCCATACTGCTCTTCTTTGCAGCATTGCACGCAGCAGTTGTTGACAATGGGAGTAATCTCGATGGCTGCCATTTTGGTGTGATGAAAGCGGTAGATATCGAAAGAGAAAGAGAGGTGTGAATAGGCGTCTCGGTGGTGTGAATGAGATGAAGAGGGAGTTGTTCGGTATGCTTGGATCGATTATTATTTGCTGGTGATATAAGGCGGAAGGTTGGATTGATCGATACAGGAGAGGATCAGGGAGAAACTTTTCGAGGCGGATGATTGAAGCTCATTCTTAGATGAGGATCTGCTTGATATTTATATACTTACATCCAAAGTCAGGCAACAGTAGATCCCTCCGACAGTCTTTGCCCAGATTCTTACGATTATTTGGTTATCGACACCTGCTCGCCAGATATCAAAGTTGCCTGTTTCATTTATTCATTATTATAACGCATGCACGAGAGAAGCAACAGACTAGGGATGCATGTCACAGCCTCGGCACCCATGTCCTGCCCTGCATTCGTTAAGCGGTGAGAAGAGTGAGGCTTCCATCGTCATCAACCCCTCTCCTTTTCTATGCTCCCCCTCTTCGAATATTTCAATTGGATCACAATGTAAATCCTGCCATCGAGATCCACTGTCGAATTTGCTTTGTCTACCTCCCATCTACGCCCACTATCAACACCAGCAGTTCTACTTTGAAAGCAAACATGCGTATTCAATGTACGCCACAAATCAGATGCGAGGGAAGATAACGCATGGGCTTTGATAAAGATCAATCGACGAGCATTTGCTACTAAATATAATCCTCATATGGTTAGTCAATGGGCCGGTCGAAACAACCCCTTTTACAGCTATGCGGGACGCCTTCATACCTTACGTGTACACCTATAATGTGCGCCTACTGGTGCTGCAGTTTTACCTACTTCCTTGGATCTCTTAGCAAAAATTTCAAAGACGCGTCAGTTCTCGTAGAGTCGATGATGCTACTATTGGTAAACATTGGAACAGTACAAGATCTAAGGCATGTCGAAGTCTACTTTTCGGTCTTTCGCAAATAATTCTCTCTCATACTCTAATTTCTCCACTTCTATTTTCAGCCCAGAATATATTGGCTAACCCCTCCTTTCACGCCACTCAATATCAGTTTCGATCTACTAGGGTACGCACCGACTGATGTTAAGCTCCTGCCCTACATCTTCCCCACTACAATCTTGAATTTCGCGAAACTTAAATATCAAACTTAATTTACGATGCCGGAAGCTCATGCATTGCCGCCCTAAGTCCATCTGTACAGACATGTCTGTAGGGCGATACGGAGTAAATCTGTATTAACCTCAGTCACAATAATGAAAAGCATCTAGTGACCGATGATCACTGGCACATCTAGCCTCCAACCCTACCATGTTCTCATGTAAATCCATGTTCTAAGTCACACAATCCCTGACTCCTGTGTTTCCTCCCTATTAATTTGCATCTTAATCATCATCGGCGCGGATTTAACCCCCAACCAACATTTACATAAGCTTCATCAACGTCAACGGGGGGACGCCGGACCAGGCTTCGACCTGGCTCTTTCCGTCGGGATGCTTCGACTTCCCTGTTGAAAACTCTTGAACTTCATGCCACAAACCGAATCGGGTGCGGGTAGGGGTTGAGCCTCCATGTTGGCCAGGGTTTGACGAAAAATGTCTTACATTCATTTCAGCATTTCCCCTGAGCTCTCTGTAAGTACGAGAACTTCTCAGCCAGCCCAAGGAGCGACCATCATTACCAATCAAGTATGATTTATCTTCACAGCTAGAAGCTAGACACTATCACAACATGAGAGTCTTTTGTACAACCTGTTCAGTTTCTTGCGTCTAAAATGAGGATTTTGCTTTCTCCACTTATTTCTTATGGGAATTGAGTTTCTTACTTCTAGATTAGCATATACATACATATGCATTCCTCAGCGCATGCAAAACAAACTTTCAAGGCTTGATTGCGTAACAAAACTGCATTTGTTGTGTGATTACAATGGATCATTCGTACAACTTCTGTGTTAGGTGAATCCCGATGAAAAGCCAAATTATTCGTCCTATCATCTCGATCATTTTGAACGCTTACGATTCAATACTTCAGCCGAAGTACGAGATTTAGGATGCCATTGAGCTGCTGGCTTGTCCCTGGGCTATACATCACCAGGTATAATGTTCACAAGTTCAGATAGCAACTATTGGGGGTCAGATATAGGATGTAGTATGTGGATCTGGATATGGGACGATTTATTTGACATTCTATGTCAGATATGAGCACTGTAAAAGGATCAAACCACCGGGCCACCGGCTCCAATGTATACAGCATACCACTATGCTTGAATGGCTTGACTAAATAACCTCGAAACAGATATCCCTGAAACTTCAATAATCTACCACCTGAAGATTGAAAACCGTTATACGGAGCCGACGCAGGTTTCACACTGCTACCCTATATTTCAGTTGAATCTAGCCGAGTATTTGCCGGAAACTTCCTATTACAGCCGCAGCTCCTTGAAATTGATATCCCTCCTTTCCCCTTCCTGAAATTGACTGCATAACAAAGCGCCGCGCTCCCGAGAGAGTCTCGCCCATTGAGTAAACTGCCGTTTTGGTGTCCCAAACCCGGATGAGGTATGGATTGCGAAACTCACTAACTTTCTTTATGGGTTATTCAATCTATATCACCTATCACTCCACCCCCACAATCCAGACACCTTCCATTTATGGCCCAATATCGCCTCTGAATTGTCTCTTAATTGCTTCTAAACATTGCCTATTCCACTCTGGTCCATAATTCACAACACTCTCCACTAACACCCCTCAAAGAGTGCCACATAGGTTTCCCCACGATCTTCAAGCACTAGAATCGCTTAAATGAACACATATCCACATTGAGACGCACTGGTATCGCTTGCCTGGTACGTACTAGTATTAGCTTCTGGATTGGCATTCATACCCCAATAAGAATTGCAAACGAAAGCTGCAACGGACGGGCCGAACATCATCTTGTTTAACCGTGCCCACCATAACGCTTCTTCAATCAAAATAACCCGTATGTGCCGACTTAGCTCCGCGTCAAGTAATCACCGTCCAGACCAGGGCTGGAATCTCTATCACATCACGCTTATTATTTACAATATTTCATCACATTTCGCTCTATCCACTTTCCGCGGGGCTGGAATGGGGAAGCTTGTCGTGTAGACAGGCATAATACAATTTCATTTCCATCTTCAATGCACTCCGCATTCTCACTCAGCCAGTTCATCCGTTTTTGTAGAAAGTATCGTCAGCAATACACGATCCATCCGGTCATTGATAGCGATGATCATCTCGGGATGGCTTGCCAGAACATTTTGACCTCCACCAGTTTTCAGCTCTGTCTGAGCAATTTGCAAGTACTAGTACCTACCTAGTGAGCCATGACCACCGACCCTCTCACCAAATATATCCCCAAACACCACTCTTCACGCAATATTCAGAAACAAAACACACCAATCTGGCACGCTAGCACGTGCTCTATTGTGACCAACGAACTGCATGCATCAAGTAAGGCTATGCTATACTATGTTATCGTGGGGGTCCAGCCCATTCCATCCCATTGCTCCAGCCCCGACAAAGCAAAAGTTCCCAGCCTTCCACTAACCCCATCCCACGACTCTCGGGCCGCACCCTGCACCTTCCTCTGAAACATTCGCGAGCGACTTTCCGAAAACACGATCCGAGCCTGTCTGTACGAATCAATTGTCGATGCTGCACAATGCTGCACCGCGCCCGCGGAAACGAGGGTCGGAGACGGCAATGATTAATGGTATGTGCGAGGACAGAGGATCCGGAGGCAAATCATCAGATTTGAATCGTAATGCAATACAGAGGCAGAGACGGCGGTATAGACTCGCCAGACCTAGCTAGGTATGTATACGTAAGCGCTGGAGTTCTTGGGTGTTCATACCTACGGATGGGTAATAGTTAGATAGACAGGCATGTTCTCCACACTTTGATCGTACCATATCACATGGTATTGCAATCTTACATATCCGCTATCATATCACATCAAGACCCAAGGAAGATGCATGAGGGAGGCGCGGATTTGTGGCACCTTGTCCCATCTTTCCATGGTGTGTGTATATTGTGCTGTGTATGGAGGCAGGTATAGATAAGATTGCGTCAGTCAGAATCAGCAATCTATAATCACTATCTCGCTGGCTATTGCTATCTCGTGGATCCAGCACAGATACTGTACAAAGCAAAGCGGTAAGTTGGACGGTTTATCTGTGACTCACCGAGCGGAGTGGGGATGAATGGGTATGGATATGAATCTGTGCCTCTTTCTATGTTACTGTTCGCTTTGATGATATGATTTCAAGAACATAATGAAGGATCGCATTGCATATGTAATATTTGATTTTTAGGTAAATGTATAGAATATCACATTATTCTGTTGCTGAGGAAAGATAGCTCTTTGATGCTCACCGACCGATAAACCGTGCCTCTATCTCACATTTCCCATCCCCGTTCCCCTACCTTTTGCCCCTCGTTTTTCTCGGTCCCAGGAAAGTAGGAAATGAAGGATTACATTGCATATGTAGATGCAATGCTGCACTCATACTTGGAACAATAGCGCTCGGTATCAATTCAACAAATTTCTAGTTTCCTGATCCATGGAGATTTCTAGATAAAAGTAAAGCGTGTGTAGGTAGGTAGCCTTAGCGCTCACAGGTCAGTAGGTCGTGCCTCTATCATGCATATCCTCGAGTTACACAATACCGTGGGGTATGCTGCGTGACTCTTTGATATATCGCATCCCTGTTTGAGGTCGAGGGCTAGATGAGAGGTATCACAAAGTATAGGGTTATGGGGTATAATATCGTGCATTATATAATGCAAAATACGCCCATGCCTCAAGCCAACTTGATAGTATATATTAATCAAAAACAAGTTTTCTATACGTGATGAACATGGCAATAACTCCGACCCATGTGACAACATAAATTAACAGTTTCATTATTTGGCATCCTATGACCACAACCGCTTCGTTGTCCGCTTAAAATTAAAATGTAAGACTTACAACCTTCCATATGATATCACATTACCACCCTCTATTCATTAGAAATGTCCCGGAGCCTTTCCAAAATATCCACCGGGAGGTACTTTCAGATACGGTACCGAATTCGAATCATCGGTATCAGAACCAACATTATTTCCCCACCAGCTAAGCGTTATGTTATTGTATGTTAATGCGAAGAAAATAATGATAGTTGCAAGCGCTGTTCCTGTATCCATTGCGGCCTGGAGAAGATCTAGACGGATTGTTAGATGCAAAGTGCAAAATAAGGAATGGGAGGATTGATGAGGAGCGAGGGATAATGTGGATGAGGGGCAAGGAGCGTACTTACAATTGTATCTCTTCCACCACGCGAAAGCTCTCTTTCTGATCAAGAAATTGAACAAAAATCCAAATATAAACCAAAGCGAATACTGTGTCGTATTTGCCGGTGGGATGTTTCCAGCCGCGTTGAAGAAAACCGGTACATTAATATATCGTACCCAACTATCAGGATACCTCCTATAAATGAAATAGACTGCAATCGTGACCACCGGTCCAATAAGGAAGAAGTACATGATACTGTTGTAAGTCTGGCCCGCTTGGAACATTCTTTGTGGACCAATTGTTCCCCAAATAAGCGAAGCATTATACACGACTTTTGATCCTGCACACGTAAAGCGCTGTGTATTTTTCGAACTGCATAGATTTGGAATATGTCCCAACATCCATCTCAATACACCTGTCTGAGTAGCAGTTGCTAGAACAGATGCATATACTTGTCCTGCGAAAAGTACACGTGGAGGAATCTTCATGTACTGACCCAACTTGAGATCTTGAGCGAAATCCAGACCGTGTTTTACGGAATTGTATCCGTAGCATTTAACCATCATGTTTGCGATAGGTTTACCAGGCCAGGCATAGCCGGCTATCAACTCGGTGATGATATTGAGGAAAATACGCTGATTTGTTGTGCCTTCGAGGATTCCTTCGGGGATAATGAGTGTGACTGCCATGCCGCAACATACGACGATGAATCCCCAGACTGGAAGACCTGAATCCCAGTATCGAACTGTGAAAATTCCGAGACCAACGATAACAACGCTCAGAAGGCCGTACCACCAACTAGGCACTTCTTTGTAATTGTTCATAAGTCGTTTATGGATATCTTCACCTCCGGCCCGAGAATTTCTGAACTTGGCCCAGATTTCAGCTCCGTTGTAGAGGTAGGTGTGAACCACTATTGCGGTGACGGCCGCAAATGAGAGAGTGTAGGACAATGAATACGACATAGAAATATACATTGGAGAATATTCTTCATACTTGCTTAGGACAAAATCCAGGTTGGAGTCGACGACACGGGAGATATTATAGCTTGACCCTGTGTTATCGAATGTGCTCGAGGATAGTAGTGGAGACTAGTTTTATTGTCAATGGGCGGTATAATTTGGGAGCAGGTAGTTTGGTACTTACTATGCACTATTCCAGACATTACTGTAGTATAAAATAGGCGATAAAAATAGATAAAAAATTACCACAACCGCAAATGCATTGCAGGTAATGTAGAAAGGTGTTGTGAGAGGAGTACCGGCATATGTGATTTGAGTCCAATCGAAGCTAATTGGTAGCAGACCTAAACCAGAATTCATGCCAAAAATCGTATTGACGACTTGGTTTTTCGGGACGATCCAAGTGATAAAAGCAAATGTACTTAGACTCGTCCAAAGATAGTCTGGGAACCAAAAAATAACAAATGCGAGAATTGTGAAGTAGGAGAAGAATCGATAACGGGATAAAGTCCAACCGTTGGCTGAGAAGTGTTCTTGAGGTTCATGTAGCGAGCGGAAAAGAACTGTGGAGGGTAATGCGGCAGGCCAGATGAGAGCTGCTGGATAAACGATCCACCGGCGGGCAAGACCTGCAAGGCCGAATCCAAGCATTTGGGTTGTTAAAAGGAAAGCAAACGTGAATCCGGCACCGTTGTCATGGTTCCAGTAAACGGGACTAACGATTGCCACAAGAGCGCCTGTAGCATAGGCAGCGCTGGCACTGATATTCACGCACTTCAAGATTATTAGTTCTTTCTCGGGATGAGAGAATTAGGGTCCCAACTTAGACTCACAATGACGATTAAGGCATGTTCTTTCACAGAGAATTTTCCCGGATTGATGTCGAATGATAATGCCCCAAGTGGTACTCTCCATCGAGGTAGTTTCTCCCAGGCTCGCCCAATTGGGAATACTAACAACTGTGCCACAACATATCCGATACTCAAGGAAGGCTGTACTCAATTAGCAATTGTGTTGAGCCAATTAAAGATGCGTATACTATAATGACATACATAGCGCAAAGCAAAGAATTGATTAGCACCAGCGAAAACGATGACGAAGACAGTCATGAGCAACCAGGCGCGGAATGCTATATATAGTCAGGATGAAGAACAACCAGTCATCATAAATCAGGACAAATTTACATACTGTTGCAAGGAATACTGGGATCATCCGTATTCAAGACACAAGCAGCGACCTCGGGAACTGGAGGTATTCATGTAAGTTTTTGAAAGTCGCAAGTTAGAGGGTTTAGGGAACTCACAAGGTGACTGATCATCATCAACATTCCATTGAAAAGCCTCTGTAGGTATAAGCTCAACAGCTTCAACTTTCTCACGGAGTTTTTGTTTTTCGAATTCTAATCCTTCTCCCTCAAGATCAGCTACAAAGGGATCGATTGTATCTTTTGTTCCAGCTTCATGCTTTTCTGGGTTCCGAAAGGCATTCTCATCATTCAGACTATCAGATGGGATGTGCGATATTTGGGCAGACATTGTAGCGAAATAGTTGATCGACTACCCCAAAGCACGAGGAAACCAGGCTTAAATTATGAGGACAGGATGTGCTACGAAGAATCATGAAAAAGAGATACGGGTTTGATCCCGGTATATAAACCACGAGTAAACTGAAACATACTTTTTCTACACTTCTCTATTTTCTGAATTCGTCGCTGGCCATACCAAGTTGCGTGATATTCACTAGAGATAAGCAATGGGACAATGCTGGAAAGCATTCACACGCACTTGGTGTAGATGCCCCATACTTATGGGGTAAGATAAGAGCTTCATGCAGTATTATCCCAATTCATCTATCACCCTTCTGAAGACCAAAGTGATGGACATCGATAAGACGAAATTTATATAGCCCGGCCCTCCGACACATCTCAATTCGTATCTTAAAGATGGGAGTACATCATACTCTTTGATACGGGAGACTGCTTTACATGTCAAAACCCCACAAAATTGTAGTGAAATTGCCTTCATGGCGTGCTCATCAAAGCGGATCTCATTACGAATACAATATTGAGATGAGGTAATTTGTCCGGAAAAGAGAAAACAATGTGTCGATAGATTGCCGAACAGATTACCGGTATAATCAATCAGTGATCCCTGGAATGGCGAATATAAAACCGGCACTCAATGCATTCAATGCATGCGAATTTCTCTTGTTGAGATTGAACAAACGTACCTAGGCACGTGCTAGGTACTGAATTTATCATTTGAACATTCAACTACCGAAATCTAGGGCTGAACCCTATTAAAGCTATGTATATACTGAAAACTATATAATAGGCTTGATTCTAACAAGATGACTCCTTGATTGAATTCGCAATCTTGGCTTGGCTTGTTTTGAGAAAGTCTGGAATCCTAAATCTTCCTCATCCTCATACACTCACCTCCCCCCCACTTTGTCGCTTCAATGGGTACGGGGAAATTCCCCTTTACCGCTGATTCGCCGGATAAGTAGATCAATCAATAAAAGACGGGCAAATTCGATCAAAGCACATCACCAGAAGCCAAGATTGCGCGTTAACAATACCACAAGGATATTAACAAAATAACGTGTAGAGTTGTAGAAGTACTAAGATAACACAATCTTTCTAAGGATATGAAGTCCAAACTACTCTTTGAATTCGTAGAGCTTCGAAATCCGAACGGTAAAGTAGCAACGTAAGCTTCTTTGAATGTGGACCATCAGTCGTCAAGAGTGTGAATTAGTTCGTTAGACCTTATCGTCGTTGATGTCATCTTCGCTTCGTTATCGTTGGTATCAATACAGAAAGAAGCTTACGCAATACAATCCATACTCCATCCATGATCTAAAGACTTTTTCTTATGACCACTGCCAAAACAAAACACAAAAGAACGCAACCTCTCCGGAAAATCCATGCAATGACCTATCATACCATCGCACTTTTCGTTAAAACAGACAATCTTCCCTATTGAAACTGTAAAGGCTACAGAACTCTAGTCCGTCGCTGCTCCTCGATGACGAATTGGATCGATTGCGATTCCTTTCCTTCTGTCGCAATGGATCTGACGCAAGCTGCGTCTGGCATGCTCCCTCGTCAAACCTGCGGGTATTTAGAGGGGTGAGAAGGAGGACGAATTTCTAATGTTGAAGAAGAGGGGCGACGAGCATTCGAGTGTAAATTTCCAAGCAATATTTCTCGTTTAACCCAAGGAGGCTCTTCAACTGAAACTACTTATCAACTGTTCGTCTTCTTTCTTAGGTCTAAAGATCTATACAAGTTCTTTTCTGTATCAAGCTCTTCTCGTTCTTTCATCATGTCAAGAAACCTCTCAAGTAACCTCTTAAGAAAATATAAAAGTATGCTCCTTCGCGAAATAAGTTTCTGATATCCAAGAAGAGTGGCCATCGCTATGCAATAACAATTTATCTCCATGGAAAATCAACAACAGAAGTTCCTAGCAATAGAGATTTTTTTCATTGACAGAAGCTTTCTCTCCTATTTCACTCCCCTCTCCTGCTCCTCATTATCACTAAACCTATCAAGCCTATCGAAAGCTTCACTTTAGTCTTTCCCCTGTATCACTCAAATCGTTACCCCCCCTTTGCCTATCCTTTTTGTGTTCCTCTGCCTTTCCCTCCCCTTTTCCAGCCAAAAAAATCATCACCATCATCTTTTCACAGCGGAGCCTCCCTCTCCCCCTCCCAAACTCGCAACAATCAAAACTATATCAAAAAAATCATCCAACAACACTACACACATCCATCACACTACACTATATACAATTGAAATTACATCTTAATGCACAAACAATATATCCCATCTATTCTCACTATATTATACCAACTACCCATACCAACTCCCCAGTAAACAAAGAACACAAAAGCATCAAAGCACTTTACAATATAATTACTACAACATACTCATTGATTGATTGATTGATTTTATTAACGTCCATCTTCAGTCCAAGACTATATAGGACGGCTAGGCCCTAAGGGCCTAACGGGTAACTTTTTAATTTACAATATTGGATATGATTTAATTGGGGAAGTGAAAACAAATGCTAGGGAACAATGCCCGCTCATTATTGATTGATTGATTGATTGATTGATTGAATTTACATCCACCTTCAGTCTAAGACTATATAGAACAGCTAAGCCCAATAGGCCCAACAAATAACTTTTTGATTTATAATATTAATTATAATCTTATTAAGGAAATAAAAACAAATACTAAGAAACAATACCCACTCATTATACACATTATATATAATAAGAAAATTCTAACAATCAAGAAATTATAAAGAAATCAAGCCCCTTTCTTATTTCCTTAACTATTTCTTCTTCATTATCTTCTTCTTTTTCCTCTTCTACTACTACTTTTTTTTATTACTTCTTATTCAAAGTCCTTACTAAATGTTATATCTTTATAGTGATTTTGGTAATATTAATAAATTTGATAGCTAATCTGATACCTATTTTTATATACAATAGGAATTGTATAGTGTTTTTGGATAATGATATCTTCTTAAAGATCTCTTTTCTTTCTGTTTTATATATCGAACAGTTAATAAGGAGGTGTTGAGATGCCTCGATATTACTATATCTGTATTTATTATTAGTAAGTTTGAAGCAATGTAAGTAGGATTTGATATATCCATGATCTAATTTGAGTTGAAAGAATGTGCTAGTAGTATTTCAAATAATTCCACTTGATAGCTTGATTTTCAAGCCAATTTTCCATAAAAATAGCTTCGAGGGACAGCGCTCTCCCACCAGCAGAAGTAGCATTAAAACAAATAAAATAGAGAGCAGCCCTCCATACCCAAACTATTGATTCAAAACACCCTCTTTATCACCAAGGGATAAGAACCACCTACTCCTCCAACAACAGGGAAAACCAATTGCAGCTAGCCAGAACAAAAATCCAGATAATCAGCTAATGCCTTTCCCGAATCAAGAAGATAACTTTAGCAGGGCCCTACTACATACTAGAATATCAAACAAATCCTATTAAAAGCCTTACGAAAGAGATAGCGGTAAAGCAGTTTCAGGAATAGTGAAACAAGTATACATACAATCAGATCACCATATTCTCTAATGGATTAAAACAGATTGATAAGGATGATAGACAAATAGGATATGGATATATCGTATATAGAGGATAGATAATAATATACAAAGAAAACAATAAATTACATCACAATTCTTATATATTCGATACAGAGCGATCAGAGGCATACCAAAACCTCCAAGTAGCGATCAGTAATATCATTAGTATAAAACAAATGGAAATCTGTATATGCATTAATAGTACATTAATGATATAGGGAATGAGAAATATAGCCTTTATTATATTACAATAGACTTTCCTTAAATACTATTTATTTATTTATTTATTTATTTATAGTGATTAATATCTAATATCTGACCTCCCAAGGGGTATTCTAGATATACTAAGGAGCAGGCCTACAGGCCGCTAGCGTTCCAGCTGCTCATAGTAGTATAATATTAGTTAATCAGAGGCTTGTTGCTTCTGATGTTCCCCCACTTAATACTACTCATAACAATCCTGCAGCTATTCTGTCTAAGGATTTGTAATCCTGTTTCAGAAAGCCTTGTTTCGTATGCTATCTAGATATCAGCGAATAATTAGGTTGATTGTTATCGATCGGGAAAGCGTTCGGAGTGTTTATAACTAATCGATACAGATCTTAGATTGATTAAAGTAAAGAACTTATTTTTAGTATATTGAAATAGATTGGAATTTGTATAGTTTCATATAGTTTGAGTATATCCTAATATAGAATCTAAATCTAACGAAAAAATCAGTAAAGCTATATTGTATTTGCAGAACGCGATTGATATATACTATTGCGTCCCATTCGGATCGAAGTCGATTTGATACAAATAGCCAATCGCCACACATCTGATTATTGATTGAATATTAAAAGAAATACAATAGACTTTTTTCATTTTTATATATACAGATATTCGTACTATTTTCATAATTGAATTTAATATAATAAACTGCAAAGTCACTGTATCCGATCCGTATTACTATAAATCTATATAATACCCTATAAAAAAACTTAAAACTTCCTGACTTCAAGATATCATATATCAGTTTCTATATATCATATATTTCAAAAATCAGATCTCTTTTTTCCTTTCACCATTTGCTCTCGAAGTATTGATATTTGGCACATAGAACAAAGCGAAAGCTATTAACTATAGAAAAACAGAATAGATCAGAATCAAATAGCCTAGTTATATCCTGATCAGCAAAACGATTGACTGCCTCGTTGCCTTTAATCTCAATATACCTAAAGGACTATTTAATTACAATATCGTAATATTACATCGTTTGATAACACTTGTAGTATACTCATTGAAAAAAAACAGCAATACTTTTTTGTATTTCTTAGATTACTAAAATATTATTAATATATAACTATATTCGTTTTTGATAAAAATAATCAATAATACTCAGAAGGCATTTTAATCCTCACTACATGCCGAT